CTTTTTTAATTTCTTTCTAGCTCCTCATACAGTTCAACCTTTTTATAATACGAAGGATTGAATTCTGTCGCTGACCTCCAAAGAGCAATATAAACCAACATCCATGCTATTTCCACCAAATATAAAATGACCAGTTGGATCTTCCCAAATCGTTTAACGTATCGACTGTAATAGCTTGTACACAACGCAGTGTTCTAAACAGAACAATTTATTTGATGAACTTTTCTTAATTTGTATTTCGTGCGATAGGCATTGACAATAGCTGAACACCAGTTTTAAATAAATTATTTCCTTTTAGTCCCTACAAGTTGAAAACAAACAACTTCACGGCAAAAATATGCGGTTGAACATATGAACTTATCGAGCGAGAGCGCCTTAGTTATTTGTAATCTAAATCAAATGACACTTGTTGGTCAATTTTTCGCGATAACTATGTAGGCATGAACGTAATCCATCCCATGATCTTCCGGATGCTTGGCAACCAGATCTTCGTAAAGTTTGAAGAATTTATCGACAATGGCGTCCTTCTCTTCTGGAGAGCGAGACTCAGAGAGGCCTGTGGGAACGTGGGTTTTAAAACCAGTAAGGTTAGTTACCATACTGTACAATAACTTCCCCCCATCAATTAAGGCCCTCCTCTGATATTGAGGTAATCTAGTCATTCTTGATACATATGTTTAAGACCACAACATGAAAATGACGTCTTACCAGACGTAAATGTCGCATTACTCCAAGTCCTTGTCGTAGGAATGAACCAACGCGCGTGCGTTTTAGGATCACCACTGTTCTTGAGCCATTTTTCTCGGTAAGGGCAGGGTACCACTTTGGTTTCTATGGAGATGAGAGACAAACCAGCTTTTCGAACGGGCGAGTCCGCGGATTCAAATGGTTTCTTAAACTCATTTACCGTGCGGTAATAGTTGACAAATGTCGTCTTGTTGAATTCTTCCTAATTGCAAAGTGATTAAATAGAAATTACTTAGTGTTTAAAATTCACTACAAGACCGAAAATACCGTTTGCATTTCGGTCACCAATACGTAATATTTATCAAGAAATCAATGATATTTTTTCCTCAAACATAGTAAAAATCCATTTGTTTCGATGGATGGAATAATTGACCTCGAAAGCCTAACAGTGGCTGAAATAACTATCGAGGAGTCCTTAAGAATTTGGAAACAAAATCACGTCGATTATAAAGTTAGGTGCCGTTTTGGCTTTCTCTTCCGTGGAGTTTGATCACAAAGACAGCAATTAAATCGGACAGTTTCTCGTGACAACTAAGAATACTACTACAGTTGTTTTTGCATCAATTAAAAATAGAAGCACTATCGCACTCCTGAAATCCGAGAAACTGAAAATAGTAAATAGTGCAAAGCGAGATAGGTACACAAAGGGCCCACTTTCAGCGGCCAGTAGATATTGTGCCGCTAGAGAGGACCTGGGCTCCCTGTGATACCACGCTTGTCACCATTTAGTGAGTTGCGTATGTTCTGACGGGGCGAAGGAGGACATTAATTTGCGTCATCAATGCTCCCCACGCAAGCATAGCCTGACGACACCCATTGTAATAATCAGTCAGTGTTAGGATGGGTTGTTTCTTTGGTAACATATAAAAGCATGACAAGACTTGACACCGTGTTTTCCGGGGTAAGGTTATGTCTTATGTTGAGGGTAT